GCAGGGTAAAAATTAGTTGAGGTAAATACACAGTTTTTTAAGCAATTGGCAAACTTCCAAAGAATGAAATTGACAAATGTTGGATATCTTTAGAATTAGATGTTTAGCCTTAACCTATTTTGAAGTGGGAAACGTGTGAAGGTTGTGGTAAATTTATTATTAGCCTATAGTTTGTTTGTATTGTTGTGGGGAGTGAATTGAAATAAACGGTATCAGCATTCTGACACATACTTTCTCCCATAAGTTTGTCAACAACCTTTATCATGTGTAAGCGGTGAGAGTAAATATACGGAAATGGGATTTGTACAATTTTGTTCGGAATTTAAAGGACTATAACATACTTAAATTTGTATCCAAATTGTTCAAGCCAATTTTGGGAAAATCCGATTATTCCGTTATTTTATGGGGGTTTTATGGGAAAATAACATAATTTACAATAACTTTTGAACCGTAATGTTTACAGAAATGGGATTTGTACCATTTTGTCCAGAATATAAAGGACTATAACATACTCAATTTTTATCAAAATCGTTTGGGCCATTTTTTGGAAAATCCTATTTTTCCGTTATTTTATGGGGTTTTATGGGAAAATCCCAATTAAAAATAAAAATTTCTAAAAAATGAAAAAACTATCAAAATTGTAAGGACCATAACATACTATGTTAAATCAAAACCGGATTTTTGTCTAAAATCCTATTTTTTGTTATTTTATGGGGTTTTTATGGGAAAATAACATAATTTACCATACGGTAACTTTTGAACCGTAATTTTTACAGAAATGGGATTTGTACCATTTTGTTCAGAATTTAAAGGGCTACAACATACTAAATTTTTATCAAAATCGTTCGGGCCATTTTTGAAAACTTTGGCCACTTTGAAAACCACTTTTTTGGGTCCAGGGGGACCCAAAACGAATTTAACCAGTCAAAACTCAAACTCAAAAATTTTGACGAAAACAATACTTTATCCATACTATGGTATAGGGGGAGAAAGTAAAAAGGAGCTTTGAGTGTTGTTACAGTGGTTGAGTCTTGAACTTACAAAGAAAGGTCCCTTTTTAATGGTTAAAGCACTACTGTAATACTGTAAATAATTGTGTTTTCAAACTTTGAATCCTGAAAAAAACACAATAGAATTAACTAAAAGGCCGGAAAAATACTTATTGGACCTCTACTCCTTGAGAAATAATGTGATAACTAATTCTGGATCTTGCCTTGACCCATAATATATTTTATAATTGAACATAATATATTCTGTAAAATGGGATGTACATGGAACGGCAACATTTAACCTATAAAAATTACTAATTTTTTTGTACCTCAAACTACATAAGTTAGTGCAGTGAAATTCAATCTTAGACAATCTAAAAGAAAAATTAATTTTAAGAAACTAAAACCATAAATAATTTTGTTTGTCAATGAGAGAGAAATGTAGAAGTGTAAGTTTTAGTATCTACTTAAATTTTACAAAAACAATAAATGCTCTTCTGAGCCTCTTCTCAATACAAAAAGTTTTCAAGAGTTTCAAACCAAAAGCAAATAAGTTAGGCTAAAGTTGGACAATTTACATTGTATACTAGGCATGCGGCCTCAGGTCCGCCAATTGAGCGGAGTAAGCAAGCTTTGATATAAACAAATAACTTTAATTTGATTCATGATTCAAATTGAATACATGATGACGTCACCATAGCAACAATCCAATTGAATTATCGTGGTTGGTTGGAAGAGTTGAAGGAAATATGAATCCAGTCAGCTGTTTCTATTAGGTCATTGATTTTCACTTGTACAGTATATATGAGTAATAGTAAAACTGTGTGTTTGTAATAGCATAAAGATAAGTATTATTTTGTCAATATCCTAATGTTTGTTTAGCTCCCATTTATGTAATAGGCCTATAGGCTTCCTTCTCATTTTCTCCAACTAAAACATTTAGCCAATTAGTAAACTTTGCTCAGCAAACAGAATGACAGAAGAAGGTGACTATATAAAGCAATACCATAGTCAATGGTCACCACAGGAAATAAGGCGTGGCTAATTTCACGAGCTGATGATACCCTGAAAGAGATGGTGGTTATCGCGACGCTAGTGGCATTGAATTGGTGACGTTTGCGCTAGTTCCGCCCCGTTGCCAAAATAGGCCTACTGTACTCAATAAATAGATTAGATTTTAAAGACGGCACTGGATAGAGAATTGATGAATTAAACAAGAATATATTTATTCCTCATGCTAAATTACAGCATCATCATGAAAAATACTGTATATGCATAATAAATTACCGTACAACAAAATTATTAAAATCAAATATAAAAGACGTTTTTATATTAGGCTATGGCAATTTAATTTGAGAACCTGCACTGTGTTAATGCTAAGCCTATGCTATTGGGTTGTACTAAATTTTCAACCTGACATAAAAATGCCAACATGCTGTTCTGTTAGCTGTAATAATTCATCTTATAGTAATTCCTGCTTCGGAAATACAGTTTCTATAGATTTCAATTTGAATACTCTCTTTTACTGTTTATAAACTAAGTACCTGGAGACCGAGCTTTACTCGATGAAAATCTTTTCCCCACTCTGCGATGCCAGCCTTTACTACTTCCTTCACCATTTCCTACGTCATTGTTTCCTTCCCTTCTCATAGCATTTAAGTATTACAGATACATTAATCTAACTGCCACAAACGGTTCCCACACCCTGCGATGCTAAACTTTACTACTTCCGACGTCGTGGACATGTTGTCATATCTTTCCATTGCATTTTAGTATTTTAAATACATTAATCTAATTGCCAACAACATTTCCCACACTCCGCACTGCTAGCATTTACTAATTCTTTTAACCATTTCCTATGTCTTGGACATCTTTCCATCCCATCTCATAGTATTTCAGTATTTCAATTTCAGATACAGAAATTGAACTGTTACAATTAGTTTCCAGTTCCCAAACTCCACAATGCTCGCCTTTACTACTTCCTTTACCTCTTCCTACGTCGCGGACCTGTTTCCCTCCCTTCCCATTGCATTTTAAGATAGCAGATACCTTAATCGAATCGTCATAAACAGTTTCCACACTCCGGACTACTCACCTTTACTACTTCCTTCACCACTTCCTTCGTCGCAGACCATGTTTCCCTCCCTTCCCATGGCATTTTAGGATTGTAGATACCTTAATCTAATCGTCATAAACAGTTCCCACACTCCGGACTACTCACCTCTACTACTTCCTTCACCACTTCCTACGTCACAAACCTGTTTCCCTCCCTTCCCATAGCATTTTAAGATTGTAGATACCTTAATCTAATCGTCATAAACAGTTCCCACACTCCGGACCGCTCACCTTTAGTGCTTCCTTCACGACTTCCTACGTCGCGGACCTGTTTCCCTCCCTTCCCTTAGCATTTTAGGATAACAGATACCTTAATCTAATCTTCATTAATAGGTCCCACACTCCGGACTACTCGCATTTACTACTTCCTTCACCACTTCCTACGCCGCAGACCTGTTTCCCTCCCTTCTCATAGAATTTTAGAATTGTAGATACCTTAATCTAATCGTCATAAACAGTTCCCACACTCCGGACTACTCACCTCTACTACTTCCTTCACCACTTCCTTCGTCGCAGACCATGTTTCCCTCCCTTCCCATAGCATTTTAGGATTGTAGATACCTTAATATAATCGTCATAAACAGTTCCCACACTCCGGACTACTCACCTCTACTACTTCCTTCACCACTTCCTACGTCACGGACCTGTTTTCCTCCCTTCCCATAGCATTTTAAGATTGTAGATACCTTAATCTAATCGTCATAAACAGTTCCCACACTCCGGACCGCTCACCTTTACTGCTTCCTTCATGACTTCCTACGTCGCGGACCTGTTTCCCTCCCTTCCCATAGCATTTTAGGATAACAGATACCTTAATCTAATCTTCATTAATAGTTCCCACGCTCCGGACTACTCGCATTTACTACTTCCTTCACCACTTCCTACGCCGCGGACCTGTTTCCCTCCCTTCCCATAGCATTTTAGGATAACAGATACCTTAATCTAATCGTCATTAATAGTTCCCACACTCCAGACTACTCGCCTTTACTACTTCCTTCACCACTTCCTACGCCGCGGACCTGTTTTTCTCCCTTCCCATAGCATTTTAGGATTGTAGATACCTTAGTCTAATCTTCATAAACAGTTCCCACACTCCGGACTACTCACCTTAACTACTTCCTTCACCATTTCCTACGTCGCGGACCTGTTTCCCTCCGTTCCCATAGCATTTTAGGATTGTAGATACCTTAATCTAATCGTCATAAACATTCCCCACATTCCGGACTAATATTTACCACAAAACTAATAGCAATAACAACAATTAAAAGAAATAATCTGCTTGGAATAATTCAGTAAGGCCGCCAGAAATTATGCGAATCGGTGTATTGTTAAACAACGCTTAATGGTATTCATCGGACTCCTTTTCTTTTGTACTGTCTTTTGTAAATAGGCCATATGTGCATGTGCAAGCTGAGGTGCCCGTGGGTACAGAATGTCGAGTTGCATACGCTACAATTCTTTGTTTACATCTACGTTGTTATCTCGTAACCATCATGGCAACTCATAAGACGCATGTTAAACATTGCAAATTTTATGTCAGTCTTAAATTGTACAGGTATCATCAAATTGAAATTTGTTTGTTTCGAAACATCAAAAATATTTGTCGAAATACCCCTGGTAAGTTTGGATTCAATATGTTCAGCCGTTATTGAGTTAATTGATTACATAGTTTGCATAAGGTCCGATCTCAAAGAGCTTCGCTCGCTTCGCTCGCTCCGCTCAATAAGATGTGAAGTTATCAAAATATTGTAATTGATTGACACACTATTTTAATTTATTACTACTTATAAAGTTAAATTTGCAAATCTTGGCATTGTTTAAATGACTGAACCTTACAATAATATGAGGGCTAATTAAGTATCAGTTAAAATCACATCACTGATAAGATGATGTAAACAGAGGAAACATGTTTCATTGCAATGACAGTTGAACTGCCCACTGTAGTGAATACAACCTTAGATATGTGAAAGTGACAAGTGTGTAAACATTTAAAATAGATAAACATGTATTCAACTCTTGCTCCATTTCTAATGATTTTTACTGAATTAATCCTTGCTCAAGATAATAAACAAAATGAGGATTTGTCGAGTTCTGAAGAGGATTTTCTGAATACTCCTAAATTCAGTCTCCGCTCTTCAGATTTTGCAGAGATCGCAACGACTGCATCATTTGTTGACAAGTCAATGTTTATCAAAACTTTCGTGGAAGATAAAGAAGTAGTTGTCATTACTGCTCCAAATCATTTTGGAAAATCAACAAATGTAAACATGCTTAAAAGGTTTGTTACTTTTACAGTGCCTGGTTATGATTATTGAGTGAAAATTTAAAAACGTACGTTTTCATGTCCCTGGCCTTTTACTTCGTAGATACTAGATTTGTAGTTTATTATTATGTGTTTTAATATTTTTGGGACGGGGGCAACATGTTACACACATTTATTTGGTTTTAAATAGGTTCTAGGTATTTTTTTCGTATTTTTAAAGTCTCAAAATTCACGACCATGACGTGTCCCTAGGGTACATTTTCCAACTTTCACGCTGTTTTTAGACTAATTATTCATGCCGAAATATATAAAGCCATATTTTTATGTTATCAATGGTTATTAAAATTACAAAAAAGGAGCATATTATAATTTTATTGTCATTACAAACTGACTACCATGACAAAATAAGTCTGTCCCTCGATTTGGCGTCACGACCATTTGGGAAAAATTTTCAACTTTGGAGCACGACAGTGGCAAGCCTGGCGTCGATGGAGTCAGTTGGGTTTAGAGACTAGTTCGGGGTGTACGTCAGGATTGTAGTGCCGGTCGTTTCGAGTTGAAAGGAAGAATTACAAGATTAATAAAGGAAAGATTGTGTTTTTTGTAATTTTGGTGTGTCCATGACCGTACGTAGTCATTCGATGAAGTAGACATGGTGTTAATTTTTGTTTATAAGATATTTCAATTGATAGATTAACCTAGAAGTCCACTTTGTATCCTCGAACATGAGGTGAAGGGCTACCGCCAGAACAGAGCCAAATAACACGTAATTTCACGACCAAAGTTTCACGACCATCGCAGTTTTTTTACACAAAAGAAGCACACCTCTATACACACATAACGATTTTTCGGGTCTCAGGTAAGTTTTTTCGGAGTTATGCAAACTTAAAAAGATTTTATTGGCTTTTTTTCAATTTTTTGAGTGTTTTTATTTTTTTCTAGAAAGACCAAATATACCAAAAGCTCAGTGACCTTTTTATTGTATAATGGTCATAAAAGTAAATTAGTTTATAGCAAAACATAGTTATAAAAATAATATTAACTATTTTTAATATTCATTTAAATGTCCGTTATGGTCGTGACAGGATTTTGTGTTTTTCCACTAAAGATGCTCTTTTAAAAAGAAACTACCAAAGATATTGCGTTACCATGGACATTTTATGAAACTTCAAATGTTAATGAAATAAAAAAAATAATAAAAGTTTTGAAAAAAGGGGAAAAGAATTTGCAAAGTGCTTTTCCTGAAAACGTACGTTTTTAAATTTTCACTCTATTACATGTTTTATAATTATTTTCTGGTTCTGGTAAGAATAGTCCATTCATTTTCTAGTAAACGATCCATGGAAATTTTATAGTTGTGTTAGAATATTTGTTCTTCCTGTTATATAGAGAACTATGTTAAAATAAACAAAATTGCTTCATTAAGCTCATAGCACACAGGAAGCGCGGTGTGTCACTGCCACATGATGCCTTGCAAATGGGAAATATTGTGGTTGAATACTTTAGATTTAATTTAATGAGAACGTGCTCACTGGAATTGTTGCAACGTGGACACCGTGGAATTGTTCCACTGCCAAAACTCTCGGAAGAATAGAAAGCGCAATATTTCCACTAGAGTGGCACAGCGTACTTGCTGTGTGCGGTAGAAGTGGAACATTTCTGTAACGAAAACATATCCTCCTCTTCAGAACTGCTCAACTTAAAACACAACTTAAAAAATAACGAATCTTTATATGGTTTTAGATAGATCATCATCATAAGTAGTGATGTACCTATGTAACAGTAAAGTAATAGGCCTACACTACCGAAAAAAGGGAGGACCTTATTCCCGACCCCTAGCTTATCTTTATCTTATCCAGATACCGGTTTGTCCCCATGAAAGTTTCCCATGGGAATACTTTGTTCATTCAATAACTTTACATTCTGGAAATTTTCAATTCAATGTTAGGAAAACATGCTTTGCTATGAATGAAATGTGCATTTACTATTAAAAAAGTTTTATTTTAATAACATACGAGGTGTTAGCCCGTCCTACGTACGGGAATTCAGTAGTCAAGGAGAGGACACGCTGTAGTTTCGTTGAAGCCAGCGTACTGGGGAGGCAGCGCTACTCTCCCGCCCCCCTCTCATACTGCGTTGGATGCGTTACTGGAAGATTTCGTAACAGAAATATCAATTAACTATTTAAAAATTAGACTTCATCATGCTACGAAAATTAAAAAGTTAAATTCTAACCGTAATATTAGGAACCTATTAAGAGGAAAGTCATATTTATGAACCAATAGTACGTTCAAAGATGAGTAATTTACACAAGGATGACTTATTTTTTGGAATTCTTTGTCCTTGTTTTTATTTTTTGCCATACTTGTATTGTGTATTATTTATAATACTCTAACCAGAGCGCAGGACTCCGGTTCATGGGGTCCCGGGTTCAAATCCCGCCATATCAAGAATGGATTTTACTGTTCATAAATTAAAACTCAAATCATGAGTAGTACTGCATGTGTATTTGAACATTTTCTTAAAGAGAAATAAAATAAGTTTTAATCCTTTAAAAGAATGATAAACACACTTTTGCGGTCAGAAGACGCGATGATTGTTGAACATTTACACTTTTTACTCAAAGTTTCTTTGGGCAAACAGATCAAATATAGTTCAATATGATATTTAAAAAATCAAGAACTTGATTGCCAAGAAATTGTTTTACTTTTTATGATTGTAATTTTATTGTAACGGCTGTTAGTGTAAAAAAGATAGAGCGGCTTTGCATTTTTTCTTAACTTTGTCTACCTATTTCAAATCACCTGCCTAGCACATAAATGACTTAAAACTAGCAAAAAATGATATTAACAAATCGAGAAAACTATGAAAAATGCAAATTTAAATGTATTTCACCACCCGAATTAAAATTTGCCTTTTAACCTATTATTAGTAAGATTGTTTTATAAACTGGAAAAATAAAAAAAAAACTTGATTGTAATTATATTTCTAAATACCACTTTTAAATATAGGTAAATATATTTTTTTATTTCGAGAAACTCTTAAGGAACACGAATAAATTGTTAATTTGTGTAGATACATCATATTTTTTTCAAAAACGTAATTAAAGTAACCATATGTTCAAAGTCCAGGTCAATTCTTTCAACTTTGATCTTCAATAATAAATAATAAATAATAGTTTTTATAGGAATGATTGACACCATTCGATAGGAAATTTAATTTACTTTAAGAATGCCATCGGTGAATAACACAGGTGTTTTAGTTTAGCGGAAATTTTAATTCGAAACAGCGCGCGTCGCGTTTTTCCCTATCTCTCCCATGTTATAGCCGAGGCTTTTTGCCACTCTACGGCTCCGCGTGCCCCTCTAGTGTTCTGCTAAAGCTGGCTTCACCGCAACAAGTGTATTCCTATACGCGTGGCCTCTCCTTTATGTTTAATCCTCCTAGGTTAAAACCGTGTACAATTCAGATCAGCTAGTTTACACATATAAAGACAAAGTTTCTTGCAGTTTTAATGTGAAAAATCATCTTGTAAACAAATGTTGTGTGACCAAATATGTTTTTATTCGATCATAGGCCTATACGATATGCATTTTAAATCCGATAATTTTACAATAAAACAGCAATTCTGAAATTTTAACGATGTGAAAAGCGTTGAAGTGAGATTTGCAGCCGATTCGCACAGACGCACACTGATTATAAGTTGCCTACAGTAATGAGAGTAATAGCACAGCCAAGTCAATTGAGAAGTGTATAGACCTAGTCAACGATACCACCTTCCATAGCATACCTGCCTCTTCCACAATTGTTATCACCACAATACAACTACTATAGGTACACAATTTCCAGTAGGTCTGAATAGAAACGACCTAAAATAAAACGATAGTATCCAATAAAATTCACAGTACACATAATTTAACTTTGGTGTCCTAACATCAAAACTAATCGTCACACATATCCCTTATATCAATTTCACTGCATTGATTGCTAAATAAATAAGTGTAAACAAAGAAAAGTAAAAACAATAACAGTTTGTTTTGAAACAGCTGTTTGGTTCAAATAACATTCATTTGAAAAAAAGAACTGGTCACATGTAGCAGGAATATAAAAAGTAAAAACGCTAGTAAAGCTAATGACGTAATTGTCAATGTTTGTTATCCATACCGTTTTCAGTTCTATCCTTGATAATTACCCACCCTCATTGAATTTGTACATCGTAATTTCCCATATTAGTTAATTTAAAATACAATATATTCATAGTTGAAAGAAAAGTGATATTTTCACGTTTGGGGGCGCTGATATAGGCGCCCCCAAACGTAACCACAACTGAACACGATTTCATAAAAGGATGGTTTGTCTAATTGCAGTATCCTAGGTCAGTGTTGACGTTGTGTTCAATCTATGTCATCCATCCGTTTATCTTTGTATAAAACCCGGCTGAGGTTGTGGTGGTAATTTTAAATCGTGATTCCTGATTATTCTTGATCTTCTTTTTATGACATCAATATTTCCGGGCCTAATCCAAACAAAGTTAAAGCAGACAAACATTAATTGTAAACAAAAAGCTACCATGAAGAATTAAAACATGTAAACATTGCTATTTTTCTAATCTTTCCTTGAAACGTGTAGCAGTAAAATAATTTGCATTTATCCTTTTTTATTAAGCCTCGTGTACAGAGCCTCGATTTGTACTATGGTTTAATTAATTTTGGTTAAAACTGTGGTCTAATTATCTATACTAATTTTACTTATTTCCTATAATCAATGACAAAAATAAAATAACCTCATAGTTCCATAGTTTATATTTAACCAGCTGTTAGTTAAAACAAATTATATTGCTCTAAAACAAACCGAAGATTACAAAGGTTGCTTTAAAAAATAATTTGAACATCCTAGTATTTTACTATGTATATTACATTAATCTGCCATCCTCTTACAGAAGAATTGAACGTATCAATGATTAGCATTACACATAGTATAAATAAGTCAACCCTAAGTATGTCTTTATATTTTTATCCAAATGCTGAATTTGTGATACAAAAGCTGAATGTTTACAGCTGTTATGTTAAGCAAATTATTTTATGCCAAAAGCTAGTTGTTTAGAATCTTCGGCTGCTAGACTTTTTAAAAATTAAAACATAATTTTGAAAAAACTGGGACCCTAAACTATAATTATGGCTTCGACATTCCCTAGTTCTCAAAATTATCTTTCTTTCAACACAAAAATCATGAAAATCCGTCGAGTGGTTGATTCAGAATCGTGAAATAAAAAAACACTGTTTCGTTTTAATATTATAGATAGATATAGAAGATAGATGTAACTAGTGTTTTTTATTATCAATCATTGGACATTTTATACTGTTACTCATTAACTTATCTATCTCAGTTACAGTTTGTTGATTTCTGTGTAGATTTTTGGAGATTGAGGTAGATGATGAGGGTAACAGGAAGACAAAAGTTTTCAACTTTCATCTTCCAATCCGGGATACTGATAACTACAGACTGTTTGTTGAGAACAGACTCAAAGTAAGTTTTTTTATGTTCAAAAGACTACAATCATTATATTTGTCTGATGTAGATATACAATTGGTTATAAATGTAGCTTTATTGTAAATAATTTGTTTTACATACTTGAAGATAAATATTGTAGGCATATATACAGGGTGTAAATAAAGTCCCACACAGGTTTAATATGTTCTGAACGATAACAGATAAATTAATAAGAATTGGTACAGCAACATGACACATGAATTTTGAAGGAATTATCAGTTTTCTGTGATATCATGGGGACAGAAGGATTGTAAGGAGTCAGAAGGAAATCTTAAACAGGAGCATAGGTACATTGAATATGTCGATATGTACATCGAATTGAAGGCCTTTACTAGCAGAATACAATAAATTTAAACTCAAACGGACAACCGAGTCAAAAATGGCAGACGTTCAAAGATCTTGAATCTGCCATTTAGAATCTTTGAACAGCTGCCATTTGTTCTTTTGAGCTGCATTGTAATCTACTAATAATAAATACCTTTAATTTGATGAGCATATCGACCGATGCTTACGTTTACGACTTTCTACCGATTCCTAGTGAGGCCCCCCTTAGGGGGTAGCAAATAATAATTTCAGACCATTAAAAAGTTATTTACCATCCTCAAGTTTGAACCAGTAACTTTTTAAATACCAGGCAGGCACTATATACTCAGCTACTCAGCCATAGTTAAAACTGACTTTTATTTCTGAATATTAGATTGCGGAGAACCAAACCTTCATGGATCAGTATTTTGGCAAGCATCCTGTAATACATGTAGACATGGAGTATGACAATATCCATGTAATGAGTTATGATGTTGCTGTGGAACAGATGAAGTACATTGTACATCGCAGCTACGTCGACCACGCGTATCTCAGAAAGAGTGACAGGTACAATACCCCACAGAAATACAATGGTTACCTACAACATGGTGCTCCTAAATGAATATCAGGGTTTCAACACTTTTTGATATTTACTTTATCAAAACTACTTATAATTTATAAATTTAATTTATTTCTAAGAGGTTGGCAGTCTTTTTGTGCGTTTGCCCGTTCACATAACTCTCGACCCCTCCCGTGGAACATATCGAGTAAAGCAAGGGGTGAGCCAGTACAGTACAAGGGTGAATTCTATTGATAAACATTTGAGGCAGGTACCTGGATCTGAACTCACGACATCACTGTCTAGGATTCAAAGTCTGTTGTGCTACCGATTGAGCATTCAACTGAAAAAATGTTCGTGAAAATGAAATAGTAGCTTGAATAGTTTTAGTCTTAGACCTCTACACATAAGATCAGTGCAGGCTGCTAAATATAAACGAGTTTAAAGTACGCTTCAATAAAATGAATCTTAAAAATAAACTAATAGGATCTTGAAAATATGGGGTTGTGTATATTATGTTGATAACTGATTTTCTCTGTTTACTGAGATTTTTTTAAATAAAATATGGAGTGGATCACTAATCTGTTAGCCAAATGAAAGAAAGCTTCATGCCAAATTTATCTTTATTCAGTCATAATAAAAAAAAAAAATGTTTCATGAAGGTTGAACTCAAATGAAAAAGCGACAGTCAAAAACTGGTGCAGCACAAGCGGCTATTCAAAAATGCTTGAGACAGACTTATGTAAGTACTGTACTCCAGTTTGTGTTTCTTATTTCATACATTTCTAAAATGGAGGTACCTGAACAAAATGTTGACCACTTGTTGTCATGATCTAATGATTTGCTTTGATAAAAATTAATCTCAATTTAATCATACTTAATCCCGAATTAGTTGTCTTTTCTATCATCAGTGTGCTATAACCCAATATGATTTAAGTTTTAAACAGTTTGACCAGGTTTGCTCCAAAACACTGGCTAAAACTGTATTAGTCAAAGATTTTTTTTTAAATATACAATTTTTAATGCTGCTTGCTATATGCACTACAAGTCAATTTTTTAACTGAAGCTTGTAGACCTAAACGTTGTGCACCACACAATCAAATGGTTTGCTTAAGTCATGGTACATTGTGGTATCATTTTGTGACTTGTTCAATTTTAAGCCATCTCACATTTATCTGTTCGAAGCATTCAGTTTGAAGATGGTGCCGCAATTCCCCCATTGCTCTATTGAGCCTTTATTTTATTATTTTATACAAATAATTTATCTTACCAATATTAATTGATTTGTATTAGGGAATTATCTATAAAAATTTTTGGTGTGTGTATTACATGTGTAGATTAGATGTCTATGTTATTGTAATTTTTCAACAAAAAGTAGTTAAAATAAATGTTTTTTGTGTCTCTTGACAAAATCGACCTTAAGACTTTTTTTATCACTTGATTTTAGATGATAGCTTGAGATCCTTGTCAAGATTCTTGTATCGCCATTATGACAACCGTAAGGTTTATGTCCTCATCGAAAATTTTGACTCTCCAGCAATCAATGCTATTCTGTTCGCTCTAACGGAAGACATCATGGGAGGAATTTATCGTCTCGTGTCATCCATTATTCTCAAGGTTCGTTCAGTATATCACTTTTTAAAATTTATTTTTTTTTCTTTAATACTTGTACAAAGGGTATACAAATATTTGATCTATGCTTATAAAAAAAAAAAAAAATATTCAGTAAATCCACTAGATGGTTTAATTTTGAAAAACTCATTTAGGTGACTCAAAAATGTGGGAAATCATAAAACCTACCGATAATCTTATGTTTATCCCACCACTTGATTTTCTGGACATGTGTTCTCAAATTGAAGAACACAAACCGGGGTGGAGGGCAATGGAGGACTTGCCAAGCTAGTTGGTGACCAGATTACTTTGTCATTATCTAGTTAATTGAAATAGCTAATATTTCAACAATCTGATGACTGACTAAGGTATAACCATTGACTATGGTATAACTCAGAGAGCTTTCTAAGCTAACTGATAACTTTCCAGCTATCTGACGATTTACTAAGCTGGATGATGATTTTCTAATAAGTAAGTGAATCGCTGAGTTTACTTATAAATAGCAAACTACAAAGCTAATATCCAGCACTAGCTAATCTATCAGGCTTAACAAGCTGACTGATAACTCGTATTACAGACTTTGCAGAAGAACTCTCATACATCTCGAGGCCTCATCTCAGGTATGTCCTACATAGCAGGGTCGCCAGCATTGTACAGTCTCGGCTATGTACACGTGTGTCGCTTCTTAGAGGACCACTCCTACACTGGCTTCCATGGACTGACACTAGCAGAAGTTGAACAACTGTTTTCATCAGATAGGTAGTACTGTTATCAAAAGCTTTTAAAAACCCGTTACCGTTTCTTATTTTTCAAGCAAAGGTGCATTTTACTTTTACAGTATATATTTCTATTACAACAGATAATAAACCTACCCAAAAAGTTATGATCAATGTCCGTCATTTTGGCTGACACTCTGAAGAATACACTTTTTCAGATATAACAACACATCTTAGCTATGTTATTATATCATGTCAACAGGCTCAACCTGACTACTGACATGGTCCATCGTGTAGAGACCTCGTACGGAGGCTACAAGACCACCTGTGGTAACCTCACCATGTACAACCCATGGTCCTTGACTCATATGTTGGTATACAAGACGGTGCGAGACTATTGGGAAGGACCTGGAATCCCCATCAATTTAGTAAACCTTTTACGAGTCCCAGCCCTGAGAAATGAGATCACCTTACTCACTGAAGGCCGTGAAAGAAAGGTATATCAAAGTGTTTTTTAATAAGTATGCCGGTTGTAGGAGGAGGTTGGGACCTGTTAAACAGAAATTAATTATTTATTTTTTTTATGATATAACCCAGTTTCAAGAACAGTTTTAACCAATTACCTTTTTGGTTTTTGTTAATTATTTACTGTGTTATAGGGCAGTAAAGTGTCACTTCCTCTTTTTTGGTGCAAGAATGTCCTGTAATACACAATTCAATGCATAGTACCTATCTACATTGGTGAATAAAAATAAATAATTTCTTATGGGCGATATTATACAGATAAAATAAAATAAGCTTTGATTTGATTTAATTTGACTTGACTTCATTACAAAAATGCCACTGGCGTAGATACGAGCAAAAAAAAATAATCCTAAAAGCATTACTATATTTACTTATAATGGTCGCTGTCCTGAGGAAGTAGTTTTAAATCATTAAATTTTAAATTTTATCAATGAATCTTTGAACAGCTGTCATTTTTTACTCGGTTGTCTGTTTGAGTTCGGGTTGGTGGCATTGTACTTTTCTAAGAAAAGCCTTTAATTTTATTTGCATATCAACCTATGTTTACATTTAAGATGTACTTCTGACTCCTAGCGGGCCCATCTCCCTTAGGAGCTAAGTATCGCTGAATAGGTAATGTTTTTAAATTATTAAATTATTATGATTCTCAGTGATTTCATACCAAGTTTTGTAGCTCTATCTTTATAGTTTTTTTTAGCGAATTTTCTCTATAGGGAAGTAGTTACATACATGGTTTCCATGGCATCACAACCTTGTTTGATAATCACAAAAATAAATGAGTAAATACGCAAACAAGAAGCAAGATATTTATAAACATCATAAAAGTAAGAAGAAACGAAAAGGGGGAAAAATAATAATAAAATAACTAAAATGGCGCTGCATAGCAGTGACACGAGCGAGCGGCACTCGTAAGTCAGCCGCCGGCCTTCAGCGGCCGTACGATTAACGCTCGTAAGACAATAACTCAAGAAAGGGGTTTTTATAGGAAGCAAATTGGTAAAATTTTCAATATGCCACTTGTTTTTACTAGGAGTAGGGATGAGCTGAAATTTTCCCATTATATTGTTAAACCCTACTTTATAAATTGTGTAGTTTCAAAATATTTGGTGCCTATATAAATAAATGAGCAAGAAATATAAAATGAAACGATTAAACCTCTTTGTGGGACATCCTGCGTATATATGTGTGTCCGTGAACATGATAACTGGAGTAATTTTGTTCCGATTTAATTTAATGTAATTTGGCTTGGAGGTGTAAGGCGAGATAAACTTGAATGAGTTCGTTAACGAGCATGATCGAACCATGGTAACGGGGTTTTATGGGGTATCCCAATTTCTCTTCAAATGATTTTAAAGAGCTTACAAAAACAAATAATTTATTTAGTATTGAAGTGTTTTGTACAATTATTGGTTACAGAGAAAGTAAAAAAAAATCTCTTTTGTATGCTATTTATTAAATTTGAAATTTATCACAACAGTCACTATCAGGCTCAATCAAAAATCAAAATGATATTCTTGCTTGGACACTACTGTACTGCACTCCAGAAGTTCTGGAATTCTTGTATATTATGACTTATAATATCTATTTATTTGTTTCCTCACCAACAAAAACTTCATAAATTATATGGTAGGTATCTAAAAATGTGTTTTTTTTTGTTATTAGGTCAAATTAAAAAAGATATATGCTCCAGACGATGTGATACGGCTGCGGGATTTGATCCATAAGCCTGAGTTGCATCGTGAGCTACATTACGCAGACACAGTGCTGAGCTTGCTGGTCGAGCTCGGCTATCTGTCGTATGTGCCTACAGGTCAGAGTTTTACTGGGCGTCACCTGGTGCGAGTGCCTAACAAGGAGATGAGACGCCAACTGCTAACTACCATCAATAAATACAAGAATTACTACAGTGCTGTTGATCTGGAAGATGAACCGGGCAAGAAACATTTCCGTTACCATACTTGAACTAGTAAACATGGGTTTCTCCTTTTATCTCCCACTTGTTTGACTAATTATTACATTGTTGATACAATAAATTAAGGTTATGGGATGCTATGGTGATATTTTTACGCAAAAAATGAGTGAATGATAATAAGTGGAATGGAGTGAGATACCTTGTGTAGCTGGTATCACTCTGTAAAACTACATTGTTGATACAATAAATTAAGGTTATGGGATGCTATGGTGATATTTTTACGCAAAAAATTAGTGAATGATAATAAGTGGAATGGAGTGAGATACCTTGTGTAGCTGGTATCACTCTGTAAAACTACATTGTTGACACAATAAATTAAGGTTATGGGATGCTATGGTCATATTTTACGCAAAAAAATTAGAGAATGATAATAAGTGGAATGGAGTGAGATACCTTGTCGAGGGCCTAAGTCTAAAACCACGTATGAGGAAAATGCCTACTTTACAGGAGAGCAAAAAAACTTTGTAATTATTATGGTATTACGAAAAACAGCTCATTACTTTATAGGAATGTACATGTAGTTATTAAATTTGATAAAACAAACCACTTCTTATGTTAATTTATTATTTACAAGAGTTAAAAAAAAAAGTAAGATACGAGGTATTGTAATAAACTTTTTTAAATGTGCCAGTTGGAGGGTTAACTTACGTGGTATTGAAATTGGGTATACGAGTTATTAGAATTTAACAATTTGTAAGATATAAGGTATTGCTAAATAAACACTAAGCATTTTTATTGTAACAACTTTATTGTTATAATTACTATTTTATCGTATTACAGAAAAAATTAGAGTATAAAATTATTTCTTAGCAAAAAAGTTAATACAATAATTTGTATAACAAGTTATAACGTATTTTTGCAGTAAGAATATTCCTCCTTCTAAGACCTCGTATCTTAACACTGATTTATAACAACGTATTACATAAATTGTAATAAAGCCACAAAGAAACTAATTGCATACTTACAAAACTGAGTTAATTCTATCTTATATTTACTAGATTTTGAACACTGAAATTCACTTTTTCACTATGAAACTGCATAACAATAACAGACCGGCACAGCTGACCACCTTTTGCACACTGTAAGTATCAATTCTGGACCTGCCCTTCAGATTTTTGTAAAGTGTTTTTATTGTAAAATTTGTTGTCGAGAGTGCTTAACAGCTATTTTTAATGTTCCAAAGTCAATTTTTCGTATTCCATACTATTTACTTATTGTTCAATATATAATAGAACAGATTGTAAAGTGAACAAATAAAAAAAAAAAAAAGTGTAAACAAAAACAATACAAGATACGTGTTGCTAGAAGGAAGGTTTACCAATACTGCAAGATACGAGGTCTAAATTTCCCATTTTTAAAAATTATTTCCCATTTTTACAGACTGACGACGTTTTAGAATTAGTTGAGAGACAATGAAATATATTTTTTTACTATAAATCTCAAAACCCTATATTTTGAAGATACGTGGTATTAGACTTAGGCCCTCGTTGTGTAGCTGGTATCACTCTGTAAAACACAGTCGTTTCAAATGCATCTAGTGGAGGCAGACAGTGTAGGTAAAATATTTAGGTCTAACTCTTGACAAAAAATTAAATTGGAAATCTCATATCTGGTGCAAGAGACAGCAAATGGAATTAAAACTTAAACTCAATTGGCTACTAGGTACGAATTCAAAATTATCATTGGCTAACAAAATTTTACTGTAAAAAGTTATGATCAAACCAATTTGGACATACGGAACTCAACTTTGGGGGACCTCGAGCAAATCCAACATCGAAATTCTTGAACGATTTCACGCTAATGCACTGAGAAGAATTATTGGCGCATCCTGGTTCGTATCCAAGACTACAATTAGGAATGACTTCAAAATTAAATCAGTGAAATAAGAAATGACAGACCTTAGCAAAAATTATCAAGAAAAATAATTTATTTTTGTAAAAAAATACAACCGACTTCAAACGCTCTAAAAAGAATGAAATAATTTCAATAAAGTAAACTTTTGTATTAGGCAAGCTCACGTATTTTAAGTCGGCGCGGCTCTATGATGATTTTTGATACAAAATTGAAAGAGGGTGTCCATATTGCAGGTGACTATCTATAACTAAAGGTGTTAATCTGCATGTCTTTTTCATAGTTGTGCGTTAAGTGTTATTTTATCACCGTAATCAGAGATCGGCATTATAGTGGTATTAACGAGTATCTTTAAAAAGATATAACGCATTTAAATGTTTCTAACTTGGAAAAGTAACGTTTTAATACTAAACTAGCTTCTTTTCCCTATCATAATATCAAACTAAATTATTTTCCTATTTATATAGAACATTTGTGTGTGTTATTTTCATAATGCATTTATTCTGAAGTAAACATAAAATACAAGAAAATATTTCCTTTAATATATAAACAAAACAGTTCAGTATGTTTTTTATATATTTATGTTATCCAGCTACAATTTATTGATTTTCAGAATACACACACAATATTTAATTTCAATCATATTTGCAGTTTGAGCCGCGCCGACTTGAAATACGTGAGCTTGCCTAATACAAAAGTTTACTTTATTGAAATTATTTCATTCTTTTTAGAGCGTTTGAAGTCGGTTGTATTTTTTTACAAAAATAAATTATTTCATGATTTTTAGTGACTGTATAATTTTTTTAATATTAATTGCTTGAGGATTTTTGATAAGCAAAACTGTTTGAAACAATCAATAGTTCCACAGAACAATCATTATTTTAAAACTGCTTGAGTCACCTGTTATGTTACGAATGCTTTGGTTGTCACAATACAACTTTATTTGTCAATATCATACAGCTATTCACTGAAACATATATGTTTTTGTAAGTCAGAATATTCAATGCAAAAAACAGAATAACTGTATACACAAATCAGGTCAAACGTTAAAATACATTTTTTATAGTAACCAAAACAAAATGCATTTTTCTCAATGTAATTCATTTAGGCTCCATGGCAAAAAATAGTTTATTGATCAATATGAAGCAACTGTTTCATGAATAATTGTCTGTAACTTCATTTAAATGGTTTCAATACTAACAGCTGTAGGAATGTTATTATTATTTTATTGCCTTCTCTGTACAAATGTAAACAATCTGCACAAATGTAAACAAAACAAATGTTGAATATTTAAGGTTTTCAGAATTTTTCACCGAAACAAATATTATACTTAAACATAATATATAAGGTACCAAATAGAAACTCTCCTGGTTATTTTGGTGGTGGAACCACACTGATCGGTAAAAGAATCACAGAGAAATTGGTGAACATACATAGAAAAAAAAAAAACATCGCCACAAACAAATTGAGAACCTCCTCCTTTTGTTGGTAGTGGGGAAGTCGGTTAAAAATTAGAATATCATCTGAACAGTCTTGCTGTTAATCTGCTGGACAATAGTCAGTGCATTACCAGGTTAAAAAGTGTAGTGCATGTGCTGGACCTAAGCTACAGATTTCTGTAAATGTTTAAATGACTGATCCGATTTTTGGCAAGACTTGTTGATGAACAGGTGCTTGCTTCCTGACATTGTTTTGATATATGTTGTACTTATTGTTCTCATATTTTAAGTTTGAACAGATTGTAAAATAAATTCGGATAAAAAAAATCTAGTGGAATCAAAGAATTAACTCATCAAATGTATGTAATTATTTTGTCGAATACGCAACACAAGATTTATTTAATAACAATACTCAGTGTGTCATTTAAACTATGTGACATTTTACAATAACAACAATGTCAGCTAAACTTCAAATAACAGGATATTTATATCAGCACGTTAACTTATTCTTATTCTATATTCTTATTTATATATATAAAATAAATGAGAATAAATGAGTTATGAGTTAACACCAAAGTTGACAGCCAAAAGTGTTACAACTAAATGTTGCTCTTACAAATTTTAGCAACTATAGTGGATGATTTTATGTGGAAACCCAAAAGTTGATCCTTTCTAGTCTAGAGCAACTACTGGAAAACTTGTTGCCAAAGAATTGGCGCCAAATGGTCAGTAGTGTCAAGGATTTCGCACGAAATCAAATCAAAATCATGTTTATTTCAGAAAGTAAAATAGGTATAGTATTACAATACTTTGTCAGTAAAAATTGTACAGTTATGCTATAGTTATGTGATAATAGGCCTACTGACATAACGATTGAATATGAAATGCCTCTCACATAGGAGGGGCGTGCGTGAAATATTTCCGTTATCAGAAAATAAATATTTTAGAAACTGAAAAAAAAAATAGATATTTATGAAACATGACTTGACAGTTAGGCTAATAGGTCAATTTGGTTGAAAGAAAAAAAATTAAGAATAACTACAATAAAAAATATTTACAAAATTTTATATATATATTTTATTTTTAGTCAATGATTAGTGCAATTTGGACAAAATCCAAGATCCAGACAACTACTTGCACATACCACCAGTCTGAGATATGGCGTCCCCCAGGGATCGATTCTCGGCCCCTCTCCTATTCTTGGTGTATGTAAATGATTTGAAGTTGGCAATACTTAATGGACGCATAGTCCAATAAGCGGACGACACGACTGTCTCTTTTAGTTCCAATTCCAACAGTGTTGAACAGATAGAAATTCAATGTTTTGTTGAAACAAATTCTTGCATTCAATACTTTGAGAACATAAACCTCAAAGTTAACCCCTCGAAGTCAAATCGCATGATTTTCAAAGGTAATACCACTCGGAAGGCATATCACCCAACTGCAATGATAGATGACACAATACCTATAATCGAAGAGGTCGGGTTTTCAAAATTCCTCGGAATGCTCATCGATGGTGAGTTGACTTGGAATGAGCAAGTGGATAGTGTTTGTTGTAACTTGTAAAGAAGGTGTCTTCAGCAATATACTTGCTGGGGAGCCTTTCACAACACTGTCCTACTGAGTTGTTGTTGATGACTTATAGCGGTTTGATACAGTGCCACTTCTCATACGGCATTTCTCTGTGGTGTACTTTGCACCATGACGTCATTGCTCTTCTCCAGGTATATCACGGTGTCGAACAATGCATTTCCTTGAGTATTAATTTAGTACCGGTATTACGTAAAAATATAAATCATTACAAACACAAGATCAT